GCATGCCTTTTTATTTGTTTATTTTTATGTGGTACTGAGGATTAAACCCAGTGCCTCACATGTGTAAGGCAAGCACTCTACCACTGAGCTACCACCCTAACCCCTAAAACTTTAGTCTTTACATTTGGTAAACAAAAATTCATTGATAACACTGAGGTAAGCAGTTTTGGCTGAATATGCATGGTAAGAAATTATATTACAAGGGATTAAGAAATAGGGCAAATAAGCAAAAAGTATTGGATTTCACAATTTAACAGTGAAAGGAAAATGAAGCCAGCAAAAAAGTGACTAGAAGAAAAATACAATTTTATTTTTGCTACTACTCTTGTTGAGTCTTTCTTCTTTATGGAATAGAAAACTGACTCACTTGGCCAAAAAGAGCCAGTAGAAAGGGAAAGATAAAAAGAGGTCAACATGATCAAAATTTCAGAAGGAAAAAGATCATTTTGCAAACTCCAAAGAACACTTATTCCTCTAAGTTAGGAACAAAATAAACTTTAATGTGGTGAGAAAGGTATACTTCATAGTAATAATTGTGGATAATGGGGAAAACACCACAAAAACTCCAAGGAAGTTTCATGATTAATCTCTGCTAAGGATCAATAACCACTATGCTTTAGAATTTTTTCTTTTTCAATAAAGTTACTAGGAAAATAGAAAAGTAAAAAAGTACATATAGAAATTGAAAAAAAAACCCACTATTGTGTAGTAGTAAATTAAGAATAGTCATGGCTCTAGAGTTAAAAAGCTTGAGTTCAAACCACTGTGAAGAAGTATCAACTGTGCTTCAGTGCCTCAGTGTCATCTTCTGCAAAACACAGGTAACAATGTCTAATAAAACCTGGAATACAAAACATTTAAAAATGCATGCAAATGTCAAGATGGTAGTGGCAGCAGTATTAGGAAAGACAATACAAACAATAACAATAGTAGTGTAACCTATTAGTGTTTAATCAACCAGTATGTAAGAAAGAGGGAAAAGCTAGGTTCTTTAATATATGTCTCACTAAATCCTTGCAATTACAGACAGAAACCAGTAAAATTCTCCTTAGTATATTCAAAAAGGACAAGTTAATTTGCCTAGCACTCAGCTAATAAATGGCAAAAGTGAAATCTGAATATTGATCTATGTAGTCAAAAGGCTTCTTCTCTTTCCACTATACAATACTACCTCCACAGCATCTCACAAAAGCAAAAGAGGAGGTATTCTATTCTTCCCAACTAAACTCCAGAATCTGAGCACAACATTAAATCTATCCTGCTGTTTTCTGAAAAACTGAAGAGTCTGATTACTACATCTTGAGGTGTATTTTTTTTAAAAGTCTATAATATGATTAAAATGTGGACATTTAGTGATTGTAAGCCTATAAAAAAAATCTTTAAAATAGAGCAGAAAAATTTTTATATTTAAAAAACAAACAAAAAAGAACAAAAGAGTTTAATTTTTTTGTCCAAGGACTTCACATGAATGTTAGAGGACAGACCAACATCTAGGTTTACATTATTATTAACAAGTATGACTAAGCAAATGCTTGAGACAACAAATGACATTTTAATATCTACATTTTCAATAATTTAAAAACAAACTTAAAACACTGATCCAACTACAGAACTCATAACCAAATAAAATACTTACAAACTTTTATTTCATGCTAAAAAATGCAACCAGGCATTCACCCAACCTCATCTCCATCAATCTGAAAACTCACCTGCCCTAAAACCTTTCATTGGCTTCCCTCTATCCTTCAATAACATCCAAAATTCTTAACATGACTCAACAAAGTACAATGTGATCTGGCTCCTCTCTCTGGAACTCTCTACTACTATTCTTCTTTTGCTCTTTTTTCGATTTCTTTGAATCCCTCCAAGACACCTTTTTTCTCTTTTTAGGACTTCTGTACAATCTGTTCTCCCAAACCTTGAGAATGGCATGCTTTCATGGGTCTCTGTTTCCATTCTTTTACCCTAGCAAACTACTCTTCATCCTTCCAAGTTGAGATCAAATGTTAGTATGCTAGGAAGGCCTTTCCTTACCTCCCCATGTATTTTCACAGCATTTATATATTTTGACTTTAAGAAAACCCCACAATTTTGTAATTTCTTGTTCAACAGCTGTCTTCCCTTCCAAATGGTAAATGATATGAAGACAGTCATTTTGTGTCTTGTTTCCTAATATTTCCCCAATATCTGGCACACCGATGAACACTTGAGTAATAGGTCAAGTGCTCAATTAAAATTTGCAGAATTAATCATTTAAAATCTGTGATAAATCCAAAACCATAAAATACTAATATAAGTCGCTTAAAAGTTCTATATAAATCTCAAGTTATATCTTATCCTTGGTTTTTCCTATGCTCCTCTCTCAAACAGGTGTAGTTTTTCAATTACAATGTTAAACTGAAGCCAAAAAAAAACCCCATTGGATAACAAACTAAAGTTAGAAACCACTTGTCTTAAAAAGAATTAGGATAAGTTAAGTCATCATCTAAAAGAAATGGAACTAAAGAGACAGCAACACAAGTAGTTACAAATAATCTCTTTCAGGTTAATGAAGAAAAGGGGAACTGACAGTACAGCTGATTTGAAACTGAATACTCAGTTGTTCAAATTTAAAAACTGAATGTTTACAAAAAAATGGAAGTTATATCAACCCAAAACATTTTCCAAAGTTTTCTTTTAACTTCTTATCAAGTGCTAAGCACATATCAGGCAGTGTTCTATGATTTTCTTTATATATATTATTCTCCCCATTCTACAGATGAGGAAACACGGGCATTAACTTATTGAATATGATACAGCTGCTAGTTAAGTGGCAGAGGTACAAGCCATTAGGCCCTAGAGTTCTTCCCTCTCAACTCTTATGCTGTGCTCTTTACATTCCACTGCAATAGAACTACTTTATTTTTTTATCTTTGTTGATTTGGGGTTTTCTTGGGGTCCTGGGGATTAAACCTAGGGCCTTGAACACACTAAGAACATGGTCTATCACTAGGCTATATATTCCAGCCCCCTGAAATACAACTTCCATCTGCACTATTCCACTCAAATGAAACTACTTTGCCAGGATTACCAATGACCTCCACCTCAGATCTAAGGGCCACTTATCTGCCTCTATCTTTTTTCATCCACTCTGCAGTTTTCTATCAAGTTAATGATTCTCTTCTGTCACACATTTGTTCTTTCTTTAGTTAACATACAGCCCAGTTTTTCTACCTCAGTTCTAGGCCTCCCCTCTTCCCTAAGCACGCTTCCTAGGACATCTCCCACAATACTATGACTTTATATATCACCTGCATGACTACAAATTTCTCTAGTGCTGACCTGAGTTCTAGAATCATATATCCAACTTCCTAATTGACATCTCATTTAGGTGTACAATACCTCATACTTAATAATCAAAGCCAATCACTTTTCCCTCCTCCCCCAACCTGTTTTCTTTCAGCCTACTATAGTTGCTTAGACTAACTTCTTTGGCATCATCCTTGATTTCCCTTTTCCTCATTTCCCATAGCCAATCTATCAGCACATTCTATTAGATCTACTTAAGAAATATATTTGGTTCTTTCTGTCTCCACTATCTAATGCAAACAACCACATCTCCATCAGAATAGGTTCCTTCATCTCATTCTTTCCCCCTTAATCTCCTTTAAACAAAGCAGGCAGAATTAAATCAGTCCTTGCCTGCTTTATATCTTCTAATATCTTTGTATTACACTTTAAATAAAATCCTGATTCCTCATCATGGACTAAAAAATTCTATATGACTTGGCCCTGCTACTTCTCCAACTTCATGTCTTTCCACTTCCCCATCACAAAATACCTTACAGCCACAATGGCCTTTCTCTTCCTTGGAACACAACAGGATCATGTCTGCTACTGGCTGGGCCTTTGCATCTGCTCTCCATTCTGCAAAGAATGGTCCTTGCTCAGACTTTCACACAGATGGTTCCTTCCCCTCTTGAAATGTTGCTAAAATGTGACCTATTCAAAGGCCTTCTGTCTGACCATCCTATGTGAAGTAGCCCCAATTCTAATCACTCTTTTACATGATCCTCTATTATTACAATGGTCATAACACTATTGATACTATCAATATCTGAAATGGACCTATTCACTTGTTTATTACATCCTGTAGCTTTGAAATTTAAAAAGCTCTGTTCCCAAAGCCTCTCACAGTTCATAACAGCTTAATAAATGTCTTAAATTTCCCCTTTGTATTTTAATTGCTGACTGTAAACCAACCAAATCCGATAAAGCACTCAGTCCATGATTTATTTTGTATTAACAGGTAAGTGTTTAAAACACTCCTTAAAATTTCCAACAGAAGACATTTCGGAACTCTAAACTCACCCGTAAGCCCAGGCCACTTACAGCATTCCACTTAAAACTAATATTCCAGATGGATGGAGACTGAATTTTCTCCCACCTCTCCAAGTGAACGAACGTGTAGGCGGGAAAAGGGAATTTTACTGGGAATCCTAGCACCTGTTACATCTTCAATCAGTTAAGAGAAGTGGTGCAGATGAGCCAGACAGCACATGGGAGACGTGGCCTTTCTTTTAGTGATTGTATTTAGGTGAAACATGAGATATTTAACTAGAACTGTCCTAATGTCTAATAGAGGCCACCCATTTCATTTTTAAAAAAGTGAAATAGTCTTAGGACAGGAGATTATGCTCGAATTCACTAAAAGAAAAAGAAACGGATTTTGAGGCCCTCAGAAAACGTGTGTGCGAGGAGGCTGAGGTCGGTCTACACATAACGGGAAAACGAGAGACACACCGGTTCAAAATTCAGCTCCCTGATAAATAAAGCTCAGCTCAGGCTCTCGGCGTTATACTTGGACCTGGACGCGAGAGTGGCAGAGGAGAAAACAGCCCTGGGACCTCTGATCACCGTTTTGGCCTCCACCGCAGGCACTTTGGGGAAACACCACAGATCTGAGTGTCTGCCTACCCACCACAGCTATCCCTGCAAGGAGATATCCCCCGGATACTCACATGGGTTCGAGAGTCTTGCTGAGCCAGGACTTGAGTGCCTCGAAGTTTTCAATGATCATTTTAGAAACCATCCACAGGGGCCCCGAGGCCCGTCACACTCCTCCGCCCGCCCAGGTCGCAGCCGCTACGGCCGCCGCTGCCCCCGCCCCCTCCTCCGCGCGCCGCCCGCGCGGGCCGCGGTGGGAGGCGCCGGTGGCAGGTTCCCGCGAGCCCCGATCGGCGAACAGCTCCGCGGAGGATCGCCGCAGGCCGCGAGTCCTCGGGGTGCTAGGAGCTCCCCCTTCCCGGACCCCGGCCTGGGCTGAGGCAGCAACGGTTTGCCCGGGCCCTCCCCCTACCCTACTCCCCAGCGAGTCTTCCCGAACCGGGAGCGCGAAACGCGCTTAGACCCGGGCTTCCTCTCAGCTTCGGGACTAGGTGCTTGTTGGCAACGCAAGAGGCAAAAGTAAAGAAAGCGAAGACGAAGGGCAGCTCAATGGGAACGATTCGGGGGGTCTTCCCGGCTCCCAGCACCCCCAAGAAGATGGCTGCCGATAAATCTCGCGAGAATTAATGAAGTCTCGCGGTGACTCCCGGAGACTGCCGGGAAGAGACGTAAATTCCGCGGAGTGCGCACTGGACAAGTAGGATGGTTTGGTTTGTGCGTGTCTGCGTGGTTTGCGTGCCTGGTTCCGTTTTACCTTGTGGCTCTCTTAAAGGCTAAAGACGAAACCTGATTACGAGATCCGAGAGGCAGAATCTGCGAGACTTTCAGCTCACCCTCGGTGTGAGGGCTGTCGCGTGTCAACTGGAAAGAATAAGCGGGATGGAGAGCCCCTTGAGAGCGGTGTGCTGCGCATGTTTACCTTAGTAGCCTACCAAAACCTTATACTGTGTGGTGTGGACAAGATTGGAAAACACGGGCTAGTCTAAGCTAAACCACTAACTCTCCAAAGGATTAGTGTCCTCTCCAAAATTACTCGACTTACAGACAAAACCGTAATGACCTAGGGATGCCCCCAAGACAAAACTTGAAGTAACTTTGACAGCTCTCGGATACTTTCCAACCACCTGAAAGATAAGCCGTGGGGTGTTCCATTTTAAAGTAGAGCGGATTTCTCTATCTCAAGAGAAATTACCTTGTATCAAAAAAGAGAGCTTTCATATCACATCCCCAGAAAGTAAATTTCCCTTCAAGTTTGATTCCTGAGTTCTATTTATTTTATGCTCCCGTTAAGACTAAATGGAACTTTGCAAAGGGTCTAAAATTCATGAACTATAATTGAAATGAAAATATTCACAAACTGAAGACACTTAATAGACCAATAAAGTTCTGTATGGGAGACCCAGTAGTAGACGAAATTGTCCTTATGAACTCTGAGTTTATAATTTCCTAGAATGAAATGCCCTTAAACATTAAGTAAAAAAAAAAATATATCAAGTACAAAGCTAGACATTTATTCTAAAATATAGAATCTAGAGTAGAATGAAAATTAGAATCCAGCTACTGAATAACCGGTGTTAAGTGATTTAGATAAGTGAAATAAGCCAGAAACAGAAGTACAAACATTCATGATTTTACTTACATGAGGTTTCTAGAGTTATTGTAGTGAGAGAGAAAAATAGAAAGGTGGCTCCCAAGAATGAGATATGAAAAAGGAGGCAGGGAGAAAAGGACATCAGTTATTTTTCATTGGAGATAGCATTTCAGTTTGGGATGATAAGAGTTATTATGAAGAGGAATGGTGTTGCTGTTTGCACAACATTTTGAATATATTAAATGCCATTGGATTGTATAATTAAAATGATAAGTGCATATGTTATAATAAAGTTTATAATTTTAATGTTTTTGAGAGAATGAAATCTTATTTTATTTTATAGCCTTTCCACTGACTTCACCAATATTTTCAAACTAGTCACTAACTGTTCCATAACTCTGGTTCTCCACACAAGCCTTTCAAACGTCTATCAAATACCAGAGAATCCAAGTAAATTGCTTGCTCATGTTATTTCCCGCAAAGACTGCCTGCACTTCTTTTTCTAACTGCTCAAACTTTTCCCATCCTTCTCTAAGACCAATGCTACTGTCATGTTTTAAGGTCTTTTCTGGCTCTTCCTAAACAATAGCAATAGTTAATTAATCTCTGTGTTTTAAGCTGCCCTCATATCAGTTCATCTTCAATTGCCATCATCGTCATTGTCTTTAACAGCAATAATTCTAAAACTTGGCTCTAATCATGTCAAAAAAGAGAGCTTAAAATTTTCATCATCTTCCACATTGTCTTCAGGATAAACAGAATTTTTAACATCCTGTATAAAGCCTTTCCTGTATCAAACTCCTTCCTAGTTGCCTAGAAACTTCTCTCAAAAACCTTTCAGCCTTTTTTTCTAGTCATCCTGAACTAGTTTAAGTTCCTTGAAAGAACTGTGTTCTCTCACTAAACTGAGCCATTGCAAAATGTTCCTCTCTTTCTCATTTGAAAGATTCCTACTTACCTGTCAAAATTCAGTGCATATAGTCACCTTCAAAAAATCCATCCCTGACCTTCCTGCTTTAAAGTGATAGTCCTTCTCACATCAGCCTGTGCTTGCTTCTATGAATAAAGCCCTCATTGTTTTAATAATTATCCTATTATCTGTTTCTTTTGACTATAACTTTAATCCTCTACTTCAACATCAGCCCCTGATATATAGAGTCAGTTCTTAATCACAGTAGTTGGGTTCCATAGACATCTGCAAATGCTGAATTAGCAAATATGGAACCATTTCTCCTAGGGAAAATGCAGGGTTAGATACCTGTGAGCCTCTAGTCACATTTTTGTCAATTGGTCAACAAATAATCATGATTTCTGTGTTTCTGTTTAAAGCATCTTATTTAATATATATTGGTGATTTATTAACATTGAACTCATTACACTATAACTCATGCCTAATCAAAGCTTATGTAATGCATGTATTTTTCTCTATAAGAAACATTACAGCCTTCTTGCATATAACTAAACAGCACTCCAGAATTATACTTGCGGATCATTTTAAACAGTAAAATTATCAACAAAAAAAGCACAAAATTTTGTTTTTAAATGGTAATAAAGAGACTGAGAAGGGACACTTGTCTCCAGTATGGGAGTTAAAAAAAGAAGGCAAAGGATCCCCTTGTTCAACCTCAGCGGGGAACATGAACATTGGGTGACTCAAATTTTTCACCAAATATTTCACAAATACAGAATCTGCAAATAATAAGGTTCAACTATATTTTTTGAACAACCAAGGGAAACCCTATCATTTCCATTAAATCTTTCCTGCCCACTATAGGTGATAGCAATCTCTTCAGCTAAATCCAAAGAACAGTGCTTGCTACCAGTCCCTGATTAGTCATTGTTGTTCTCTAGCATGCTGTTCCTCAAACATCAATTATTGATCCCACATTATGTCACTGGTTCATTTTCTTTGATATTTCAAAGGTGGAAAAATAGCTAATGTAATAATTGGTACTACTCAAAGAAGACAAAACAACCACCATAGACTACTTGCTCTATTCAGTAACATGAACATTTGAAATGTTCAGTATTTAGTTAACCAATTATCATTTTCCAACACATCATGCTCTTTGAAAGGCCTGTGAGTTTGTTCATACTATTCCTTCTGTCTGGGATAACTTTCCTTGTTTCTCAAATGCCATTTCCTCACTGATAACCAAGGTATTTTCCCCCTTTGTTCCTGGCTGTATGAGTTAAAACATTTTATTTAGTTTTCTCGTCTTTCTCAGCTCCTTAAGGACTCAGACTCAAGCTTATTCTTCTTTGTACTTCCTGCACTTAACACAATATCTGAAAAAGAAAAAAGTTTATTGAAGGATATATGCTTCATTTTAAATAGGAAGGAAACAGAGTCTGGAAAAAATATTTAGATTGGCAAGATAATGATGTATTATCTAGCATACCTGTATTTCTATGTTTTGTTTTTGTTTTTGTTTTTGTTTTTTACCATGAGTTGTCTTCATCTTTTAGCTTGATTCCAGGAGTATTTTCTATGGTATTCTTACCTCCTCCTTATTTCTTCCAGTTTTCTGTTCTAAATGATAGATATAGTAGTACTCTCTGTAATGCTGTTGGAATATTGTTTTAAAACTCAGCCACATGAAGCAAAATAGAGACAAGAACATTTCAGGCACATATAATAGATTTGTGGGATGTTCCTGAGGTAAAGAAGATCCAGAATCTTAAAGAAGGCCCGAGAGGTGGGAGGTATCAAGGTTGGGGAGGGGAACAGCTGTAGGTCAAGTTAGAGGGGGAAAAAAGATCATGTTAAGATTTTTGTACTGAATTTTATTTAAAATAAAATAGCCTCTGAAGGATTTTCAGTGTGACAAAATCAATTAAAAACATGAGCACACTACACAGAGAACTTAATTAAATTTGAAATTTTAAAAATAAAAACCTAAAGGAGGTAATTGTCCTTTAATATAATAACCCAAGATTTTTATTTCCCTAGAAATAATATCAAGGTTATGTTACAAAGCAAATGTATTTTCTAATCTGAGAAGGCAAAGAAGAATAATGCTTGCTGGGGTAAGGTATTGTTAAACCCCTACGCAAAGAAAAGAACACCAACTCCAATTTTAAAGCAAGCTTGTATTGGTGTATACTGGAGCTGGCCCAAAAACCCTGAGCTAGAGATCAGTACCCCAGCTCTCCAGGAACACAGTTTTATAGCACAAAAAGTTGCAAAATGGGGGAGTCTTGAGAACTACAGATAACAGGATTTTGACAAGCATAATACAAAGGCAGATAGTAGGTTAATGATCTACATGGCTTAACATTTCAAGGTAGGGAATAAATTTAGATCTCAACACCAGAATTTATGAGGCGCCACTGAGGTTTCAGAGAGGGTTGTTATCTGGTCAGGGAAAGCCAGGTATGGGTGAGTGCAAGGCACGGGCAGCAATTCCAAACAAGTTTAGAAATCACAGTAATTTATAGTAAAACAGAAATTAACTTTTCATGATTTTGTGCCAAGGTGGCTCCCAAATTTAAGATAGAATTAGGCTGGGTTCATAAGTATGTCATAGGTAGGAGATGCTTTAGCAATTGTCATTGATACATACTGGGATCAGAAGACCTACTGTCATTTTCCCCTCATAGAACCAGGGCACTTCTGGTATCAAAGAGTTTGGGGATAATCACCAACTCCTCAGTGGGCGCTCTATTCATATCCATAATTAATTATAATGATTCTATCTCCAGTGCAGAGTTGTTGTGGAAATATTGTATGTGGATATGGCCATGATGAGTAGTAGTAATCAAAACATAAAAAGGATAAAGATTCATATGTACATATATTGCATATTCATTACAAACACCCATTTATATATAAAATCTTGTACAAATTGCCACAAATAATGAAATATGATAGTGTAAATCTTAGTGTGGGAGAGGCAATATAAAAACTGTCAGTGAAATGATGTGATGTGTATGATCAAAGTAATTCAAAATGGAGTAAGGGGAGAGAGTATCAATGAAACAGGATTGACTACAAGTCCATTATTGGTGAAACCGGATAATGG